AAGCCTTTTTTCTATCATTGTAACTTGACCACCCCACCCTCCCCATTTCCCTTTATGCTGGTTTTCCCAATAATCTCCTTTATTATTTTCATAAACATCTTGTGTATATGTGGTTAAATCTAGATTCTGTACAGAAACCATGATACTGGAACTTTCTTTCCCAATTATGCTCACTGGCTCTTCCTCCCCCTTTGGTTTAGATCTCTGTCTAACTTCTTCATTATCATCCTTGTACTCATATATACAGATATATGCATATGTATATATGTATACATGCATATGGGTACAAGGATGATAATGTACATATATACATATGTATATTCATATTCTGCATTTGACAGAAAACATGGCATTTGTCTTGTGCTTGGCTTATTTCACTTAATGTAATTATCTCCAGTTTCATCCATTTTGCCTGCAAATGGCACAATTACATTCTTCTTTACTGTTAAATACAATTCCACTATGTGTATAAAACACATTTTCTTTATTCATTCATCTTTGTTGATGGACATTTAGAATGGCTCCATATCTTTTATGAATACTGCAGCAATGAACATGGATGTTCAAGCATCTCCTGGCATGGTTAGTTTCACTCAGATAGCCCTGCTTTTTCCATGTGTTTTGAGGCAAGGACTACTGTGTAGTCCAGTGTGCCCCAGGATGGCCTTGGATTTGCAGTAATCCTCCTGCAGCAGCTTTCAGAGTGCTGAGAGCTATGATTTCTTAATTTTGTTTTCTTCCGATTATCACTGCTCCACTACTGTTTTATTTCCTAGTACAAATATACCCGGACATAATTTGCATTTCTCTACCTGGGAGCAGGACAGGGATCTGTAGTTTTAAGTACTATTTGACAGTGTGTACTATGAACAATGTAGGGTTTAATTTTTCTTGCACTATGAAAATATTAGCAAATATCTGAAAAACAAGAAAAAATTATGGTGCCAATGACAAAACTTTATACAAAAAAAAGAAGTAGAAGTCAAATTTAAAATTTCACCTCGGAATACTTATCACTTGAAGTGAGGCCACAGCATGGGAGGGTAGGTCACATCTCCAAATACTCACCTTTTAAAGGTCCACATAAAAGTAGTTTATTAAATAAAGCCCAAATAATTAACAAAAGAAAATAACAAGGAATACTAAGCAAATAATTGATGATCCAAGGTTTCTCTGTGTATCCCTCACTGTCCTGGAACTCACTCTGTAGAACAGGCTGGCCTGGAACCCACAGAGATCCACCTCCCAAATGCCGGGATTAAAGGCATGTGCCACCACCGTGAGGCTTGATGATCCAAAATTTTAAGGAAGGGTACTCAGAAATGTCTGTAGATGCACAGGTTATGCATTCTACTGATACGAAAGAACTAGAATCAAGGTGGGGTTTTGTTGCTGTTGTTGTTTGCTTTTAGCATCTCAGTGATGGAGGTGCTTGGTGATTTCAGATCAACAGAGAATAAGAATGAACTACCTATGTCCCTTAATGGCAGGAATGCATCCTGTGAGGTACAACATAAGGTACAAGGGTGACCATCACAGTGGAACTTAAATAGTCTGAGATGGTGATGATTCTACTTCGTATGCTGTCCAGTGTGGACTGACACAAAGTTATGCAGGGTATGGCTATATATGACTTGAAAAGCCACTGCAGAAAGAGAAAACAGGAACTTCCTACAGCATAGATAAGAGTCAGGCAAGCGCCCAGCTTACAGTGTGCACAGTAATGAATATATTTCCTCTATTACTTCTTAAACAAAGTCTATATACGATTGTGTGGCTTTTATTTTTGTTATATTTGCTTACTTGTAACATGGTGATATAACCTGTGCAAAATAGGGGCATTGAAAGGTTTCTGTGTTTTCTTTGCATGGTAATTTCTTCAAAAAGTGCTCTCAACAAAGGAGGGGCTCTTGGGAGAAATTGGAGGGACAGCAGGGAGGCAGTAAATGAAGCAACTACTATAATTTCAAAATATAAACATTAAAACCCCAAACCCAAAATATACTCTGAAATTGGTATGTAGAATAGAGATCAAAATGTCTCAAAAATATGATAGGGAGAAAAAGACATATTTAGCTTTATCAACAGGGCAAACAACTGGTTAAATGGAATGAACACTGAATGAGAAAATATTTTTTTTTCCTGGACAGTGGTGGAAACATTCTGGATCAGGCAGAGCACACAAAACATTTGTTGATAGGAAATACTTTGGGGAATACAGCTGATGATACAACAGACTCTGAACCAGGCTAATGCTTATAATTTCATCTAAATGTCAGTAACAACAACAAATGAAGAGGGAGGAAGAAAGATTCCAGAAAAACACAGGGGGTGGCCTGTTTTTCTGTAGGGATTCTCTGCTAGACTTGCATACTGGGATCTGGTCTGAGACAAGCAAGGTGAATTACCCATAGCCATGATCTTTTCTACCTGCACCTGTGGGTACATAAGTATGTGCAGAATTCTACCTCCCAGTTGTTTCTGTCACACAGATAAAACAGCAGGGTACACTGGGAAATTTCCGCCTCAAAATTAACTTGAGTACTCTGCCCTGTCTGTTCCACAAACTCACACAAAAACCATTTATTTCATTTTAAACAGAATTGTCTCTTTTCCAAGACATTCTCTGGCTTTTGGTTCTGCTACCCAGCAAGAATAAGTATATGCTAAAACAAACCTGATTATTCCTATTCTTTTTGGGGGGTGACTTGATTTTTATTTTTTGAGATGGAGTCTCTCTACTATGCAGCCCTAGCTGTCCTGGCACTTACTATATGGACCTCGGACTCACAGAGGTCCATCTGGCACGTACCACTGAGCTCAGTTAGTTTTTCCTGTCTAGTTCAAAATGTCTGTCTCACTTTTTTGAAACACAGACCAGAACAAAAAGTGAATTTTGACAGATCTACTGGGTGCTCCTAGTCATTGACAGGAGAGTGACATAAAGGGCTTATGAGTCCCTTCCCCAGCCAGGCCTGTGCTCCCTAACTAGCTATGCTTAGAGTGCAGGAAAGTGCCAGGCCCCTACCACAGGCCCATTCCCACCTATTATTTCAAAGAGACATCTTTGAGAGACACCTAAGCTGTGACTCTGGAACCTCTGCAGGTTTTCCTTCCATCTTATGACAACTGACTAGTAAATGACATCTCCACGACAACTCAATATCACATTCTCAAAGGCCACTTGTAACAGTTTCTTACACTTACATGAAAGGTATTCTTTTTAAAGTATAACATAATGTAATTTCCTGTTTGGTCTCTTAGGAAGTAAAACTTTATAAAATATCTGTGGCTTATTTTAGAGGTCGGTTGGTGATGTTTACAGATGTGTTTACATGTTCATTGGCCTATGAACTTTTTTCCTGAGTCCAGAAGAGTAGTGCTGAAGACACGGCACAGCAAGGAGTGGCCTATGAGCTTCTTGGGCTTTATAGTAGGGTCTCACCCTGAGCCTTGTAGGTGCAGGACCCACCATGGCCAGAATGGACAAGAAAAAGATGTATCAAGCACGTGAACCTACAAAGCAACCAGTTCTCTTCCCATGAACTATGTTAGAAGGGAAATCAAATAAGAGAAATCACATTAGTGGCCTTGGAATCAGAACAAGGGAAGGAGACTCACGGAAAGTTTAATCGAAGTTGTGTCTAGCTTGGATAGGCATTTTCAACATTTTAACACACACACACACACACACACACACACACACACACACACACACACACCTGCTGCCACATTAAATAATAATACTTCTTTTTCTTGCAACCCAAAAGCTGTTCAGATTCTTAAAGGCAAATTTACACACAAGTGTTGTTTCGTTAGGGTTTTACTTTTACATTTTAATCTTCAGAATCCAGTTCAGACTGCTTTCTCAATGTTGCCCATGGACAACTAGGATACAAAATAACATACTTTTTGTCTGCCTCTTTCTTCTAAAGACAGGGTTTAGCTCTGTAGGCCTGGCTGGCCTCAAATTCAGAAATTTACCTGCCTCTTCCTCTTGAGTGCTGGGACTAAAGTGGTGTGCTACCGGTGCCCAGCAATGGTTTGCCCTGCTCTTAATGAAGTCTATGACACCAAGAAGTAAACACACCAGTGACAGAGAACATCATTCCATTGTCTCGGGGAGGAACTTTTGTACCATTCTGTAGTAGAGGTGGCCCTTTAAACTTTAACCTTTGTACACAAATGTAAGACCCTAGGGCAAGGATTTCTGCTTTGCTCACTGATTTATGCCAAGTGCCTAGACTATAGGAGTGCTCAATAGATATTGACTGAATGAATAAACCAACTAGTACAACCTATAATCTCAACTATGAATTTGAGAAATATACATTGCCAGTTGATGCCTCTCAGTGTATGAACTTATAACATTTTTTTTATATTTATGTGTGTGCACGTCTGTTTGGGCATGCAAGTGTGTCACAGTGTGGATGTGGAGGGCAGAAGACATGTTCTGGAGTTGGTTCTCTCCCTCTACCATGTGGGTCCTAGGAATAGAACTCAGGCTTGGTGGCAAGCACCTTACCCATCAAGCCATTTCGTGAGTCCATTCTGAATCCATTCTATTGACTTAACACATCATTCTTAAATAAAAACCTCAGATAAAACTGGATTCTAAAGTAGGCAGTGGTGGCACACACCTTTAATCCCAACACTCAGTTGGCAGAGGCAGGCAGATCTCTGTGAGTTCAGGGGCAGCCAAATCTACAGATGTGAGTTCCAGGATAGCCAAAACTACACAGAGAAACCCTGTCTCAAACAAACAACAAAAAACAAAATAAGACAAACGAAACTGGATTCCAATGATTGAAAAAACTACTGTATAGCTAATAAAATATCTGACATGTATGATGGAATTTATCAACATAAAAATTTTAATTTATAATTCTAAATTTTCTCCTTCCTCAGACATTTTATTCTTTAATTTACAGTTCACACTTTAAAGTCATAGGGAATTCTTTTTTCTTAAATGCAATGTTAAACCAATGGGAAGATCTTACCTATGACTTTGTTCTTCTTTCCGTTTTTTATAGGTGTGCAAAGCAAACTTCCAATGCAGTGTGTGTTTACATGTCCTGTGTTTTCATTCTAAAGAAGAACAAAAATAAGACTGAAGGAACCACAGAAATGATTTGTCCCACAAATGTCATATTAACTTTATGGCGCATGCAAAATAACTCATCTTGTATTAGCTATATGAAACAAACAAATTGTAATGAGGTTTGCATAAGGACAATACTCAGCCTTCATTATAATAATAATAGCAAATTTCCTTCATCCTTTTAAAATTTTCCAGAGAGTTTATAGTAATAGTAAGTCAAATATTATTCAGTGCCTGCTATCAAGGTGAGGTAAAGGTCCCAATTTAACAAGGAAGCAGAATCCAAAAGCCTGGAAACAACATACTACAATATTGGCCTTCTTAATAATGCCACGATAGTGCTCACTTCAGCAGCACATATACTAAAATTGGAACGATACAGAAAAGATTAGCATGGCCCCTGCGCAAGGATGACATGCAAATTCTTGAAGCGTTCCATATAAGTCATCTTTTATAGAAATTTATTAACTCAATTCAAATAAAACATATCATTTATTGTAAAAAAAATAATGCCACGGTAATGGAAGCCTACACTTCTAAAGTTTGAAAAAGTTCTTCTAAGTATGCAGGTAACAGAATCAAGGCAGCTGCGTCACAGGCTAACATTTTTGAAAGATTAAAGAAAACACTGGTATTTAAAATGTTGAATGTCTGAAGAACACATCTTTGTAACTTCACTGTCAAGGTAAATGGATAGCTAAGGAGCAGCTCATTAAGAAGATTGCCAGTCGTGTGCATCCAAACCACAGGGACCTTAATGTTCACAGTTAAAGTTAGAAAATCCATCTGAGGCAAGCTACCGACACCATGGTGGTAAATTACCTCAACTTGTACATGCTGGTTTGTTACTATCCAGAGAACAGAGGAAAAACACAAAGTACAGCTTCCCCAGCGAGTTTGAGCTATTTTATCATCCCTCCCTTGAGCAGGAAAAAGAGAGATCACCCTTAAACAGCCAGTTTCCAGCCCAGTCCAGCAGACAAGGAGCAGCTGTAAGTATAGTCTGAAGGGAAAACAGCTTGTGTGCATCAGGTCTAAAATTAGGTTACTTACTGTCCAGGGAAATCGTTTGTCCTTAGCGACATCAGGGATATTAAGTGGCTCCATTGTGTTCTTGACAT